TGGCGGCGAGGGGAGGTCCGAGAACGGAGCTGGATGGGGCGACGGGCGGGGTGACTGACGAGGAGCGCCGCACCGTGGACGGAGGGGCGGGTCCACGTTGTCCGGCAGTTGGACGCCGGGGGCAGCTCCTGGAGACATCAACACACCACGTTAGTCTACAAGAAATCAAGAAAATTGAAGTTGACTCACCTCGCTGCCACCCGGGGCTCACGTCTCACCCTCGAGCTGGCGGAACTCGAGGGCGGACGGAGCCATTATGGCCCGTCGCTGGCATTTCGTCCTGGCTTTCTCCGTCCTATACTGGGCCTCCTGCTGCAGCTGCTGTTGGTGGATGTGCTGCAGCTTCCTCGCCGCCGTCTTGAAGAGTTGATCTGATGGCTCCCTCCACCGCAGCGTCTCAGTGTCCTGGGGAGTTGAGGCTGACATGGTGGTGGATTGCGTTCCTCCCCAGGACTGAAGAAATAATTTTTAGCCATCCGCTTCCACAGCCGGGATGTCAAATAGTTTGGCGCCTCCGCTGCCGAGAACTCCCGGAACTGCAGCTCACGGCTGAAATTGATCTTGTTGGTTTGATGGTAAACTTCCCCCCACCGGGCCCAGAGTAGGTTGGTGTTTCTTGGGAATTTCCTGGCCACGACGGCCCATAGCTTTAGAGGAAACGTCACTCTTCGCCGTGCACGAGCCTGATGTCATACAGCCGCCTTCATGCAATTGCCAATCAATGGTGAATATATGATTTATATCTTTCCTCATTGTTGTACCAGCTTTCTCTTATAAAGCCTTTCCCTTGAACCATTATCTGTCTAAGTTTGCTCACATGTTTATTAATTAATCATTCAAACTGTCTTCTCTCTTTTATAAATTTCGAAAAATATTTATCAAAATTCAAGAAAGTGTTCAACATCTGGAATTAATCTTTTTAATTATATTTCAAGAGAGCGAAGCAGTTTTCAACACTTGAAAATAAGTTAAAGAACTGTACAACCACCTACAAGAACCTCATATTGTCATCTAAATTACTTTGGAATACCAAACCCCGAATCATTTTGATACTCTTACGCCAAATCTTGAGCATTAAAATGATATAAACAAGATCGAGAAATTATGGTAATCATCAGCTATGATTTTGATTGAAAAGTAGCAAGACATATTGATCTAATATCGGTTATGATCTCTATTAGTCCATAAATATATTTTTCTAAAAGCGCAAATATTTTGTTATAATATTTGTTATGATATTGAATTCTGTAATTTACACAATAAAATAATTATTTTCTATCACATTAATTGGTTATGATCTTCAATATTATAATTACCCACAAGGGGGCAAACATTTTTAATCTCTTTTTATAATCCTGAATCAACTACATGAGTAGACCTATTTATATATGGGTATATCATTCCCAATAGTGAGCTCAGGAGACCCAATTAGATTTTTTTTCTCTCATCGTCCGGCTCATCATTTTTTCATTTTGCAACTTTTTCTTTTCACCACACAAGTTGAACACAATCAAAATTCACAGCAATAAATCTCTTACACCTACCTCTCCTTTTCCGCATCCTTCAAACCTCCAACCTTCCAAGGGATTCCAGTTCGCCGAACATTTTTGTTTTTTTCATTGATTAATCCGACTGGAACAATCCTTCCTCGCTATACCATTCCCAATAGTGAGTTCAGGATTTCCAGCGCGATCTTTCCTTTTTTTTTTCTCATCGCCCGACTCATCTTATCAATTCACCATTTTTTTCAAATTTTCACTTTTTTTTTTCATAATTCAACCGGGCACAATCATTATGGACAACAGGGATCCCTCTTATCTCTACCTCTCCCTTTTACATCCATCAATCTTCCCACCTCTTATCACTGTCTGAACTAATGATGCAGACGGAATATCTTGGGACTTCTGTTAATGAAAACAATGCCTCACTTAAACAAGTTCGCATTGCATTGCAGAATGCTTGGGATACTACTTTGCAGAAACATGCTCAGATACCCCCTTTCCCTTTTTCAACCTTAGCGTCACATTATACGCTCAGTCAATAAACTAACTTCATTTTTTTTCCTCTCATCTTTTATGCAATAAGATATTATTTTCCTTGTACGATTCATTTTACCATATTTACCGTTTTGTATTATATACTTTCTCTTAATCTTTTATCATTCATTTTGTGCGTTTTTATTTTTATAACCTTGATTTTTATTTCATTGACACACCACCATTACAACATCTTTCTCTTTTTAACTTGTAGCTTAATAATAATTTTAACTAATTTGTATACAAATTATTTCTTTTTTTTTATATAATAGGTTTGTTAGGTCATCACTCATTACATGTCATTCCCCCAACAAAACCTTCATCATCGGGGACACATTCTGTAGTATATTTTGAATTAGATAGATCACAACCTTCTTCTAATATTTATTATAACCCCATATCTATATAAAAATATGTATCGACCTTGTAACAATGGAAGTGACAAATAAAACAAAGATGTAAAGGTAGACTAGACGACGACAAAGGCCAGACGACGAAAACAACCCGGCGCCAGAAAAGTAGCGTGATTATAGGAACCAATCAGGACTCACCACCATATGCGGGCGTCCAATATAAAAGGCCCAGAAAAGAGACAAAGGGAGTTGTTTTCAGGGTGAAGCCGTTATACGGTCGGTCGGATCTCTCACCCCCCCTTCTATCCGTGAGTAGTCTTAGGGCATACGCGGCGCCCGTGGTTCGACTGCCTTCGTCCATGGTCTACCTCTACCTCTTGGAGCTGCCATCTAGACCTGCCTCTGTTCCTTGCCATCCCGGTGCGGGAATCCCATCACGCACCCACGACCACGACTGCCCAGTACATTCCACATCGGCTTGGTCGGGATTACTACATATATATATATATATATATATATATATGTTCCCGGCTTCGCCCGGTTTTACCCAAGTAAAAGTTGCCTAAGAACATTTGTTAAAACGATTCTAAAAAACATCCAAACCACCTATATTTATCGATTTAAAAACGTATATAAATATTGTTATATGCGTTTAAATATATTTTTGAAACATAATTTTTTTTAAAACATTACATTTTAAATAAGATATTGTCACGTTAGTGAATTTTATAATTAATTATTTTCTTTTTTTTTCTCAATGAATTATTTAATTAAAAAGACATATATTGGATCAAAAAATCATTTATTTTACCAATATTTCAGTTGGCCTGACGCCAACTTTTATCAAGGTGTTGAAACATATTTAATGTGTGTCAACAACAATGTGTGTCAATGAATTATGTATATTAATTTGAAAATTTATTTTTGTTATCATCATCGCATACAATGCAATTTTTTTATATAAACAAACGATAATAAACAACAACAACAATGTAATTTGCACCTTCATTATTATAAAACAACAACAAATTAATTTAACAATCTAAAAATATATTTTAACATTACAACATTTTAACATTTAACACAAAAACTTTACAATATTTTCTTTAAATATATATTAATATTGATATGCCAAGTTTTTTTTACATCATTGGATTATTATATTACTAAATTTCTGAATTAAATTTATTATACTTGGAACACATTTTAGCATTTTTACAATTTATAAATGCAATTTCACCAGAAACCGCGAGAGGCCTTGCTTGCGAGTGAAAGTATAAAATTTCCAAATAAAATTACAACGAATACTTATTTCAAATCAAATTCAAACCAGAAACCTTCCCAGTAGTATGGTAAAAAACTTGCTAAAGTTTCACGGCGATTGGATGATCTTACATTTTTAAAACATTCATCTGTAAACAAACACGTGTAAAATTATTAACCAATCAAATTCATTTATCGTCGCGACCAGTGCGGCGCCAAGCGGTAAAAGGCTGGAACTACGCTTTTTGGTTTTTCACTTTTTTTTTAAATGCACATTAACCTTTTTATTTTTTTGAATAACCTATATGTTAAACGAAATCTTCAGCTACCTACATGCGAAATTTGATATTGATTGATTCTGTAGATTTTTCGCAACGCGATAACAAACATCTATTTTGGATTTCATTTTTATAGATATAAGGATTATAGGGAACAAGATAATTATTCGAATTGAAGACGTTTTCGAATTAAAGACTTTCGAATTATCAAAGTTCCACTGTATAATAAAATATTCAAGGAATATGACAAGGCGTCAAAGGTATAATATATTTTATTAACCCATGTTCCTGAAGCGTACATATGTCGCCAACTATCTAAAGATATGGCTTATCTAAATCATATATTTATAATTATATTTAATTCTGCTGTCCTAAAGGCTTATGTCCATAGTTCTTCTAAAATACCCATTCCAAGAGTCTTACAACAGTCAACTATAAAAGGAAGTTCCAAAAATGCAATATAACAGCGGTATGGTAGATTAAACTGGCGAAACCGCTGGGAGGGTTCACCACTGATGAGCCAGGCCCTCCCTTTAATTTTTCCATCGCAGTAAGGACAGTAGAAATTGTTTTATTTTGAAAAGAATATTACGCCTCTAAAATAGTTTTGCAATTATCTAAATCATAATAAGTAAAAAACTAATTTGTATGTTTATCGATAAAAACTTCTGAATATTAATTTAAAAATTATCTATACATGTAGGAAAACAAGTCGGGGAAAGATTTTTTTTTATAACAGGACGATTGTACAAGTTTTGTACCATTCTATATTTTTTTTTTTACCCGTAGAAGGGCGTCTTTTTCGAAAGTTTGTACGAAAGACCTCGTTTAAAATAACTCTCCTCCCCGACCTGTATGTCTTCTTCTATGGAGAATAGGGAGATAAGCATTCATAAGCACTTATCTGCCTTTTTTAAACACTTTTTGACCCTAGAAATAGCTTTAGAATTGTTTTTTTAGAAAATATTTTTCTCATTTATATTTTACTAGCCGAATGACCCGGGCAACGCCCGTGTTTTACCCGATTGAATGGTTTGATTCAAATACTCTTTGTTACTATTATAAATTGTGGTCATGTGGCCTAGTGGTCATGGCATCTGCCTGGTAGGCGGAAGGTCGTGGGTTCGATTCCCATCCCTTGACACTTTTTTTTTATTTTATCCATTCTGACCAAAATATATCCGTGAACTTCACACAGTGAACTTCACACAGACAGAATAAGGCAATTATATAAGTAGATTATATTTCATTTTCATAAATCAAGTAAAAGTGTTATAAGCTAAGCAATAATATATAATATGCATTTCCAAATCTTATTCTATCTATAGTTTTATTCAATATAAAAACCTCCCGTTCCACACTATTCAAGTCCAGCCTGGACTTACACCGCCTTGTAGACCGCTCCGATGTTAGTCTCTCCTGGCACCGCCTTGTAGGATCATCCACACGCCCGGAGGCAAATCGCCACGTCTTCTCCTCGCCTTAGATGTAACCAGACTCTGTCCTTCCCCACACAGGAATGCCAATTTTAGCGCCTGCCACATGGCAGCTGGAGGCCACCCCTCTTTCACCAACTGTACTCTAGTATCTTGGCCTTGTCACCCATGTAACAATATCTATAACGAATGGAGACATTGAGACGACAATGTTTCTTTTCACAAATCAAACTTCTACTGTCCTTACTGCGATCAAAAATATATATTGGGAGGGCTTGTCTCATCTGTGGCGAACCCTCTCTGCGGTTTCGCCAATTTAATTTAACAGACCGCTTCTTTTGAGATCCAATACTGTATTGTGTCATTGTGCTTTTATATACTGCACTGAAGGGTGGAATCTTAGAAATTGTATTTAAGCAAACTATGAACATAACCTTTTTGGACAAAAGAATTACAACCAAATATTTGCATCGATCAATGCTCTTCCGCAAACAATAAGTTCATATAAGTTCTTATAACAAATCAAGCGTTTTAGAGAGAGAAATACGAGAGTGTAAAGGATATTATATATATTATAGCTGTGCTTTATATACTGTCATAGAATGTGATTAACACGAGCGAAAATATCAATTATTAATAAGTAGCCAATGAATTTAAATCAGTTATTTTTCCAATAACATGTCAAAAAGTAGACATGAATGAGAAACATTTACAATTCTAAATAAAATCTTTATATCATCATATATATTGTTCAGTGAGGACATTAAAATATATTTTTCAAAGAATCATACGAGGTCATAAATAGTTCAAATTTCCAATACCAGATGGCGCGCTAATGCACCTTTTATCACGCGCTAATGTGTATATCATATATAATTAGTATCTATATATTTATATATATATTCATATTTATTAAAATTTGTCTTCCGAATTTTTATCGAAAACTCCTAATTCTACTTTACCAGGCATAACCAATAACAAAAATAAATCTTCATTGCAATAAATATAAACACATTGTAAGGTTAAATACTATTTATTTCTTATTTCTAGACATTTTCTTTGAGATAGAAACAAAATTTAAATATAAATATTAATAAATATAAGAAAAAAAACAATTGAATGCTATTTTTTCCGATTCAAATTTTAAATATATATATTATTTAATTTGACCATGTATTATATCCACGTATTTTACTTTAGGTATCCGATGAATGATTTTTTCAGGGGATGGGATTTGAAATTGCTCATCAACCAAGGCTTCATTTAATTTACGAGGATCCAAGCAAATCCGTATGATGTCACTTTTCTTCCTTACCATTACCATAGGATGCACCCAATCAGTATCATGGTTGATTTTGGTTACGATATCTTGATTGACCATATTGTCCAATTCACATTGTGTGAGGAAATCCTTTTCGGTAGCACGAGTACTCTGGGGTTTTCAGGATTTACTCTTAATTTGAATTTTTCTGTAATTACTTCTGTTACATGAAACACGCTCTGATATTTATTCAAAATAGCCTAGACACTACTATTGTAACTTATTGCATTGAATTCTTTAGTCATTATGAGTGGTTCCGAAGTAATACCCGAGATAAGGGGGTATTAGCGTTTAACTCAGTCACATTAAATTCAAAGGTTCCTTCTTTTCCGTTGTGCTTACATTTCTCGCTGCATTGTCCCAACAGGGGCTATTCTGTGCTGTCATATGCAATCGTTCTTTTATTTATTCCTACAATTCAAGGTTTCACCCGCCAAGATTCAAAACTTCTCCAGGGAATAAAATAACCCATGTTCCAGTATCCAGATGTACTGGTGTTATATTGCCATTGATTGATATAGTAGTTTGCCTTTTATCAGTTTTAATAGTATTCAACATTATTTTATTTATATCAATATTATGCTCATTTTTCTCCTCATTTTATATTCCATCTTCAACATTTTTTATTCCCTTTGAACGACATACTCTATCATAGTGATTCATTTGTTGGCAGCTTGAACGTTTTCCAAAAGTGGCACATTTACCATAAACTTGCTCTTGTCCACACCATTCGCATTTGCCCTCATTTTTCATTTGTTGCTTAACCGACAAACGATAGTGCTGTATCAAATTATTTGAAGTATGTCTAGTCCCTTTTCGCATTTTCATGATCAATGCCCGGCTCGGAAAAAGCGGCAATTTGCGCTAATTGCTTTAGAAAGTGTTAATTCGGGATCTTGTAAAAGTTTCTTTTCCACATTTTTATAGGGCGATACCAAATTTCAATCTATTCTTTATAAAGTGAACCAACTAGATTTTCATATTCGCAATCCTGGGCCAAAGATTTTAAATGAGTAACAAAATCACTAATAGTTATCTTGAGCCTTTTCTTACATGAAAAATATATTTCTTTTTTGTATGGTATTTTTGTAGGGTTTTAAGTGATTCAACAAAAGATTAAAAATTTCGTTCAATATTGTAATTTGTTGATTTTCTACAACTTGTGTAGGTTTTTATATTTGAATCGTAAGTTTACCCACAATGTGCTCGAATAACGCTCTTTGTCTAAAAATAGGCTACAAGTCTATATCCTAGTAAATTAAATTTTATTGCCATCTATCGTTAATATTTTACACAAATACATTTACTGGTAATGCGTTTCTTTTAAAAGAAACGCATTGCCAGTAAATTTATTTGTGTAAAATATTAAATTCTATATCCACCGCCGTTTCTTAGTTTTCAAGTTTTTTTCTCCAAACTTCCCAGCTATTTTCTTCATCATATTGAACAAATGGCGGTGGTAGATGTATACTTTCATTTTTGCGCAACTTGGATTGTCATAAACAAATTGTATACTGATTAAATTTATATGTCAAATTACTTTATACTAGGGTATCACTAAGGCTTTAACATAATTAAAAGTTTATATACCAGTTTGTCGACTGCCCCATGTTACAAATGGAAATGCCTTTTAATGATCCATATATCTGAAAAATGAGAGGAAAAAATTTAAATGACGACCAATATTGATATGATATTTAGCCAACCAATTTTCTTTATATTTTTCATGACTAAATAATGTAAAAATATTTTATATTTGATATATATTGGCAATTCAGCAAATCATTTACCGAGTATTTTTGATAAGAAAATGGGGAAATATTAAATTTACAAAAGTTAGAAATAAGACTTTGGGATCCCTGGATGACCAGAACGTTGAACATTACTTCCTCATCCAACAACGACCTTTACTGTTAGAACTATTTTGAAGAATTAACCCATTTTTAATACTTTGGTTTATATATATTTAGTCTAGCCATGACTATTGCTACAAAACTAAAGCAGCGATGAAAATTTTAATTTGACCGCGTGAAGTATTCAAAATACAGTATTTGTTATTTGAATATATTGTACACACACGTGTTTAGAAAAAAATATCGGAATTCATTTGTTTTTTTTTATAATGAATTGGGGTGTTAAATAAAATCGTATAGCTGTAATAGCCTTACACAAGGTGGGCCAAAGTCCTTCATCCATTTTTAAACTTTTACAAAATTTGAATATTACGAGTCAATTTGTTTATCGAACCATTGAAATGTTCAACAAGGTTGGCACTATTAATGACCTTGAAAGATCTGGTCGACCGCGCGTGCAACGAACGCAAGCAGCTATAAAATCCATTCGCGTAAGAATTCATCGAAATCTACGCCGCAAACAAAATTTCTTAGCAAAGTAGATGAATTTAGCTCCAAGAACAGTTTCCAGGATAATAAACGAAGACCTTGGACTGAGAGCTTTCAAACGACGCACAGGTCATTTGATAACCCCTGCTCTTAGAGTTATTAGAAGGGTTAGATCAAAAATGTTGTTGGTGCGGCATGATGGTCAGTGGCATGTGAGAATCCTTTCCACAGACGAGAAAATTTTCACTGTCGAGGAAAATATTGCTCATCAGAATAATAGGATATATGCTCGTAGCTCTTTAGAAGCTTTTTTGAAAGTCAGAAAATTTGAAAAAAGTTACCATCCTTCTTCTGTCATGGTTTGGTGGGGAGTTAGCTACCAATGTGTAACAGATCTCTACTTCTGTGCCGAAGAGGTGAAAACTACAGCTAAAAACTATCAATAAGATATTTTGGAACAAAAATGTTTAATGGAGAACATTGGATATTTCAGCAAGATTCAGCTCCTGCTCACAAAGCTAAGTCAACTCAACAATAATGGAGACGAATGTTCCAGAGTTCATAAAGGCCTTCTGGAAACCCTTATTTAAACCCCCTTGAATACAGTTTGTGGGCATATTTAGAGGTGAAGGCGTTCTCTAGAAGATATAATTTGGATCAATTGAAATCAGCATTGTTGAGAGCAATGAAAAAATACCATTAGAAAAGGTGCGTGCCGCCATAGATCAGTGACCTGAACGTTTGAGATCTTGTGTCAAAAATAAAGAAAGACATTTAGAATGATTGTATATATTTAAAATCCATGTTCTATTGTCTAATAAAATATGTAAACCTATCACCCGATTTACACGGTAGATACGTTATTGAGAAAAACGTGTATATCGAAAATTAAAATTTTTCGCGAAATTTTTATGCGAAGAAATACAGACACAGTGTGCGTGTGCAGCAAGTCAGCACATAAGCTCGGGATTCCTCGTGAGATGTGTACACAGCGCATGGGTTCAATCACAGTAGCATTTAGTGTAAACTGTGGAAAACCGTGTAAAA